CTCCGGAAAGGTCTATTTATTGGCGCTTCATTTTGACTATATAAATGTTGGTGACGATGAAGAATTTTGTGTCATTCCGGCCATCTAGAGGTACTATTTCTTAAAATTTTCACACCTCATCCCCACCATGAATGTAGCCACACAGTCTTTGAGGTAGGTCAAATAAATTAAATACATCAAAGAAAGTGTTTCTTTAGTTTTGTTTTCTTTCTATGGTATCACTCATAATAATTAGATCTCTGCGGTTGCCGAAAATCCCTGATTAAAAATCATGAGATTTACTGGCGCTTCATCATAGACAGGATGGTGTGATGATGAATTTTATTATATAAAAGTGTCATTTCCGGCATCTAAAGGTACTGTTTCCTCAAATTTTCTCACCCGCCTCAGCCCTAACCACGGTGGAGCAGAGGTTGTTGTAGACTCACTGCTTTAAAGTAGGTAAAGTAAATACAGCAAAGAGAATGTTTTTAATTATATTTTATATGGCTCATCACACATCCTACTTAGATCTCTATGGTTGCCGAAAATCGCCGATAAAAAAAAAAGATCATGACAATTTTTGGCGCTTAATTTTGACTAGGCCTATATAATGATATAGTGATGTGATGATGATGAATTTTACTATTATAAATGTGTCATTTCCGGCCATCTACAGGTACTATTTCTTCAAATTAAGTGCACGCACCTACCGCCACCTGCATCCGCCCCAGGAGGCAATGTCAAAAACAAAAAGCAAAACTTTAGCAGCAGGTTCATTATTACCTGTTTATTCGAATTTATGTATCACCTTGGTAATCCTACCTTTCAGCTGTTGTTACACCAACAAACACAAAAACAAGTATCACATCGTCTGTTGGCGAACCTGTTACTGTATCTTTTGATGTGACAATACCTGGAGATCACATTTGGAGGAAGGATGGTGTACTGCTATATAACTATAACGAATTGTATGACGATTCAAGCTTACATTTTACAAATGTAAAAGTTGAAGATGGTGGCATATATGAACTTTACATTGGACATTCATCGAGGAACGAATGTAAACATTCCTTTATTGAACTTATTGTGAGAGGTTGGTATTTTTTTTTCTTGATTTTTTAGCTATGCAAGATAATGCACAGCACAGCTGTTGAAAACACGTGATCATTAATTTAGATTTTATTTTTGTACTGGCAAAGTACATAGGGCTAATTTTAAATGTGAGATAAATATTTCGAATAGTATACAAAACTGCGTCTTGATGCTGTTCAAGCCGACAAATGGCGCGGTGGTGCTGAATATGAAAATACTTTGGTAAACAACATATGATTGTTCTAATTTATAGTGAAATAAAATAGAATCCTTCATCGAAAGATGGAATAGGCATATAATCATGGTGGTTTGTACGGTTCAGCCAAACCCCTTTCTCTGTGAATTCCTGATAAACCAAACACTCTCTCCTGTGGTATCAGAAACCTTCCAAACTCACTGCGTCGTAAGACGGTCGTACGACCATCAGCAGACTATTCACCTCCGCTCTATGTGAGCATTGGACGATGCGACGTCGTATGCTGATTTTCGGTGGTAGTCTAAACGGATCGTCATTTAAAAAAAACAAAAAAACGATCCGTTGCGCGCATAGCAGCGTTGCATTTTCCATAGAATCGGGTTGACCGACGGCCGCCGGGCGCAGTGCGGTCCCAGCTTTACATGCTACTATACTTCAAGGAGAAACCTTTCCTTCATTATTCCTGTTTACACATGTGTGATTTTTTTTTTCTTTTAACGAGGATCGAGTAATTGAGTTGGAACATTGGTTCTTTTACAAAAACAAAATGTTCTATTACATTCTATCTCAGTGTATACAAATCATTAATAATTTTATACAATATCGAATAATACGTTACAAGAGTGCATTTGGCCGTCATTGACTGGTAAAACTTATTACGTTCACATTATCTGCCTAATGTTTGTTACTAAAATTTGAAAGAAGAGAGAGCAGGGGTGGCGCCAGGATTTGCCCGACGGGGGGGCCGAGGTCCCCGACGGGGAGGGGGCCGATGCCCCCGACGAGGTGCCAGATTTCCCCGACGAAAGCAAAGTGGGCGTGGTCGAGCTTCGATTTAAAGGCTCCGAAAGTGGTCCCGGGGGTGAATCCCCCGAAAATTCCGACAATTTAGGGGTTTCAAAAGCTTATTTAATCGATTTTAGAGTCTACTAATGTGTAAAAAAAAATATTATACACATCTAGATGTGTATAAGAGACAGGAAGCTCTCCCCGACGGGGGGGGGGGCTGGACACGTAAAAGCTACCAGTAAACATGACTATCATGAGGTGTTAATGACCTCATGGGTAAAACCTTTTGCACGAGCTAAATTCATAATTGCCAGTTATGGCATCTCTTCATCTAAAGATTGTTTCTTTCCGTCATAAATTTAGTCAATGTCGGATTTCCTATATCCCTTCACTAGATTCATTTAAGATAAGACTAGAAGTATTTAGAAAGCAATTTTGATTAAACTTTCATTTCATTCAGGATGTCAAGCCGGCCGCTGGGGAGCACCCGAGTGTACACGTATTTGTAATAATAGTTACGATGGTGGTGTATGTGATGATGAGACAGGGCGCTGTATTTGTGCCCCGGGGTTTAAAGGAAAAAACTGCGAGGAAAGTAAGTCCAACCATTTATTTCCATCATCATTACAATAAAACCTTTTCTTTGGTACGCCCTATTCAGGTGACACTGTTATTAAGAGTAACACTGTTTGTGAGAGGAAATATATCTTAACATTTCAGCCAAATTCTATTAAGGGGAAACCCCATTTAAGGAGGTAAGGTAAGGTAAGGAGACACTTCCTGCGTATTCCAATACATTTCAAGAGCTTGACAGCTATCGAAGCACTGAATCTTCCTGAAACTATTAAAATGGAATAATCAATTTGAGGTTTAAAAACTACCGGTACTGGAAAGACGCTTTTTTCTTCGAGGCATTAAAAACCTACCAACGTAATAGGCCTACCTCAGTTGATGCAAAGTGCCAGGAGCATCAGTTTTATACTGGCGCTTTACAAATAGCAATTTTCATTTTATTATTATAATACTAATACAGTAGTTTTCAACTTTCCACAATCTCCAACAAACCAAATTGACGCATAGTTAAATTGTTGTCAAACTACGCAGAAATATTCATTAAAGTTGCTCTGTTGATAATATCAAACAGCTAGTTTTAATTTTAAATTTGATTTTAATTTCTAAATTATGAGATGAGAATTTATTCTGCACTACTGATTTGTGGCTTTTTTTTGCACAATAGAATTTATTTTCTAGGTCTTGGGCTGATTTTATAGGTATATAAAAAAATCTTTTCATGTAACTTTAAAATTGTTATGTAAAAATATACCATAAATTCTAGTAAGATGCTTACCCAGCACTAGAAAGAACTTGAAATGAAAATTGTCATTTTACAACTTGAAAGTCCACCAGAATGGTGGAGGGTTTTTGTTGTTGTTGTATATATTGAATTTTGAAAAAATTAATATAATTATTTTTATGAAATATTCAATCACGTGTTCAGTAATTTTATTGTCAATAGTACAACAGGTAAAATTTAAATTTGATTGCTTCGGATACACAAAGAAGTCAAAACACACAATCAAGAAAGACATAAAAAAAGACAAACAATTGATAAAAAAGCAGATACGAAATTGCCAATTACAATAGTCCATGGGCTAGCAAGAGTCACAGTGCCCCTCCCCCTCCACAGTTAATTTTTTTTTATATATCTTTGTTCCCATGGTCATATAGAATGAGAAAATTGATGTTAACATGAACAATTTTGGGATGCACTGCAGGTACTGAGTCTTTGTATGATGGTTGTTAGTAATTTACAGTAAATGCAAATTTTGGGGTGGGGTAACTTTTGTGTTTATAACTTTTGTTTCTGTAAACAAATATACATGTATTTGGTACCAACATGTAGAATATTAATAGCTCAATCACTTACATTTTCAACATTCAGAATCCGGCGATTGCTGACGTCATTAGAAGTCAGAAGGTCATTCCCATTTTAACAAAAATGCGACTTTCACCATAAACCATCACAAAATTTAATTTAAAAAAAATTGAAATTGTAAATAGGTATTATCATTACTTATACTGTACACACTGTAATATGAAATAAGAAAATTGCTGGCCAGATGAAAAACACAGGGATATATTATATATATCACGTCATATGTGATAGCCATAATAATTTAGAGTAAACCGAGATTGGGGGGTGGGGGTAACATTCGTCCTGATAATTTGTGTTTTTATAAATAAATTTACATGATGTTGATATCAACATATATCATATTAGCTGCCTAATCTTTTAATGTTTTAAATGTGAAAATACCATAATACCGGACATCAGTAGAGTTCAAAAAGTCATTGACATTTCTTACCAAAATGCAAATTTAAGCATGAAGTACCACAAACATTCATTTCAAATACAAAAATATTAATATATAGTGATGACAGTTGACATGTGACATGCACCAATTGGTATGAAATAATCCGACCACCGGAAAGTGTATTTTTCAGGATGGCTGCTAAAATGGCGCCCATATCACAAAACGGCTACAAAAATCGTGGATCTTTTTCAATAGGATCTTAGATCAGGGTACCTTTCATTGATCAAAAAATCAAAAATAAAATGTGAAAAAATGGCATTGAAATTGATAAAGTAATTATACAATTACTTATTTATGGCTTTTTATATATGCCGGCCATATTGGGTTTACTCATATTGATCATATCTTCATATAATAATTGTTTAAAATGATTTATTGACCCACAAAACCGGATATTGATGAGTAAATCTGCGATTACAGTACATTTTGTAGCCGTTTTATGATATGAGCGCCATTTTGGTGGGCATCTTGAAAACATATTTTCTGGTGGTCGGATTATTTCATACCCATCGTTCCATGTAAATGCCAACTGTCATCAATATATAATAATATTAATATTTATTTTGTCGGGTGCAGTCTGTAGGCCTGGTAGATTTGGACTTCATTGTGAATATTCCTGTGGTTTACAATATTGCAAAGGTCTTCAGTTCTGTTTGCCTACTCCATATGGGTGTGACTGTTCAACCGGTTTTACTGGTCTTCAGTGTTTAACAGGTATCTCTACATTCCAATATCTCTATCTTATAAACATAATTTATTCATTGTACAGTATTTGTATACTGTATTTTATATTCATGCCATGACCAGCTGAATTTCCTGCTATAGATAATAACATTTTTTTAAATTTATTTTTTGTTTTTTTGTTTTTTTTTTAACTTTGAGTTTTGAATAACAGTGGTCGCGTAACACCTACATTTGTTGCCTATAACCAATGCAGCTGGAATGCAAGCAAGCCGAGAAACGCCCATGCGATACCTATCAACTCGTACGGTA